AAGACATAATTCACAGGACATCTTACATTTAATTTTTCATTAGTGCCCGAGCGCGAGCGAGTAAATGAGCACACACCCTGAACATTGCCGTCTCTTAGCCAAATATAAACCCATCAAATTCAAAACGTCTCCAGCTGAATATTTTACAGGACCTTTATGAAAGTAACAGGGTTTCATGACAGCAAGGTGGGAAACTTTTAAAAATAAACATGAGCTTTATAACTGAGATTCTGAGGCTGAACTCTACTGCCCCTCACAGGGCTCTAACTAGGCAGCCTCCAGCGTGGTGGCTCTTCCCTTAACTCTTCTCAGGCCCGGGATGAACAGTCACAGACCTTGTGAAGTGTGCATACTGTTCTAAAGGAACAGACTAGAGCCTGTTACGGCCTGTGTCTAGATGTCCCCCAGGGGTTCACAGGTCACAGGTGTGGTTTTCTCAGAGGCAGCTGGATCTAGAGTGTGTGTTGCTGGGACTGCGTGTGATTAAAAAATTAATCTGATTTCCTCAGCATAGTACTGGTAGGATGGAGGGGGCCCCACCCTGCGTGTGAGTGCTAGCAGCTGGGGCGTGTGGGGTGGGTGTGAAAACATAACCGACAGGTATCGGGCTAGCGCAGGGGCCTGTCACTTGCTGCCTTCTGCCTGCTACCTCAGACTGGTTCTCCTCTGTGATGTCCCTCTGCCAGGCCACCCTGGAACCAGTGACTATGGATCTATGCGTCACAGGGTGAGCCAAATAAACCTTTCCTCCTTTAACTCTGGGTGTCAGGTATTCTGTCCCAGCAATAAGAAAAACAGCTAGGATAGACCCACCTCAATTTTATGGTGGGCCTCCTCACTATAAATATGACTCAGAAAATAATCAAATAAGAAAAGCTAAAACTACTTGATCATCTAAGGGAAAGATATTCACACACCGAAGGACCCGATTTCTTTACAAGGTTTCCCTATGGAGCCATTCCTCTGACAAATGTACTTCCACAGCACAGATTTCCAGGAACCACCACCACCTCACATCCAGCGGCAGACAGAAGGCTGCACCTTGTAATGATTTCCACCTGTGCCGTGGAGCAAGGTCACAGCACATCAGGGGGTGCAGGTGCTATGGGACTGGGGACAGACACAACACTGCACTCCGACTGAGGCCTGCTCCCTTCTACCTACACATAAATTTCACATGTTCCAGCATTTAGACACCACATCAGTAGCCATAAAGCAGATGTTAGCTTCAGAAATCTCTTGCCTTCAAGCAAGAGCAGTTCAGCCTAATCACCCTGAGAGCCCGGAGACACGGACAACCCGCTCAAGGGTGTTGCTGATGCTTTCGCCAATCACTAAACTAGAAACGGCTTGCTTCAGCTAGATTCGTCAGAGGTGTCTCTCCCATCTGCCCACCTGGGTAGGTTCCTGAGCTGCCTTGGTCTCCTCCAATTGCTAGACTCGAGCAACACACCCAGGTCAGTGAGTTGTGGCGAGTCAAGACTGCCTGTGACACCTTCATCATAAAGAGGTTATTGCCCCACCGGGCTAGCTACTGCCTAGGCCAATGTTGAGTATCAGCCCGAGCTTTAACTGCAACTCTGCTTGGGAAGAACAGCACGGCTTCGGGGTGGAGGTGATGGGTGATACCAAGCTAAAATCCAGTACCACCCATTAGCCTGATGACGTCCAGCCCAGAGTTACTGCATACTCTGTCAGGGACGACATTGTGGAAAGTTCTAAAGGAAGCCAGAAGCAATTTACCCTCCTGCTGATGACCAACACCGCCACAGTACTGGCCGACAGCCTCTTCCAGGGACAGGACTCCAAGTCCACTCACGGCAACCAAGCACTGCAAGCAGTTCTGTGGCTCCCAAGGGCATAAAGGCTCATAAAACTGTCATTGTGCTCCTCTTAACAAGCACCAAAGCTGGGCATGGTGGTGCACTCCTGTAGTCTCAGCACTCAAGAAGCTGAGGCAGGAGGATCGTTGCAAGTTCAAGATCAGCCTGGGCTATCAAGTGAGCTCAAGGCCAGCCTGAACTGCACAGCGAGACTCTGTCTCAAAAGACAAAGAAAAAAAAAGCACCAATAAGCACTGCTCTCCTTTGCTTTTTTGCTACCACTGTAATTAAAACCAGATATATTTTCATACTTATCATGATCTTTTAACATTCTTTAAGCCCATTAAAACTTGCCAGTAGGTCTGACATACATACTGCAATATAAATATTCTCAATATTTCTTAAGAGAAAAAAGCAGAAAAATGTCACATTCAACCCCGAGCTTTGCCAGTGGTCCTAATAACTCCTGACACTGAAAAATAATTGGTAGTTTTGGCAGATATAACAGCAGGCAGAGATTACTTGAAGTCTGGGTGGTGGACACCTGAGGATTTCAGCATGAATATCAGGCATAACAAGCTATCAATTCCTTATCTAGAATAATGGGAACAAATTAACCCCAGGCAGAGAAGATGTGATACACGTATGGAAATCAGACTTCGAAAGGCAACAGTCGCAGCCTGAAAGGTTCCACTGTATAGAACCTTTGTTCCCATACTTTAAATGGAAGGCAGCCACATCACTTCTACTATTCCTTCCACTCCTGAAACAATTACAGCCACAGCTGAAATCAACTTGAAATCCACCAGACAGGTGAAACCTGGGAAGGCCTAGGGTGTGCTAAATTTCAACTGGAAAAAGGCAGTTAGGAAATCCCAGTGTCGCTGGCACTTCTCCAGGGTCGCACCGATCCACACACGGGGGTCGCAGAACTTCAACATGCTGCGTGAGGCTGCCATGAACCTCCTCCCACTGGCTCAGCGCTGTGCCAGCCTCCTGGGTGGGGAGAGGGTGGACACACAGGCTGGATTTTAGTGCTGAGAACTCCACCAGGCCACGCCCCTGCCGAGAAATCTGTGTCTACAGGGTCTCACTACGTAGATCAGACTCATAGTGATCCTCGTTTATAGCCTCCCAAGTGCTGGGATCATGGGCATGCACCGCCACGCCCAGTCTCAGCACGCCTGGGAACCAACATGGCAGGCCAGGGACCGCACCTCCGACCCGTGTGTCTGCCTAAGCAGGCGCTTTAATCTGCTGAGCTATTTGGCTGGCCCCACAACGTAAGTTTTAGATGGCAGTAAAAATAAAGTCCTACAAAGTCTGATTTGGAACAAAGAAGTAAAATTAGGCATGCCATCATTATAAAAATGCAATAGTGCCGTGACATGATCTCAGTCTCTACTGTCATTCATCGTGAAGTGCACACACTACAGGCGCGAAGACTTCGGCGTGCCATGTGCTCAGCTCTTCACTAGGACTTCAATACTGGCTGGTTCCATTTTTTGAAAATCAATTTACCATGCTGGGCTGGAGAAATACTTCCTTGAAATTACCACCAAAATCAGGAAAATAAGCAAATGACTCCAGCAGATATACAGACAGGAGACAAAACAACAACTTGAACAGGAACAAGACATTTCAGAGCAGTGCTTGAAAGTGGCTTTGGGCGCTCATCTCAAGGACACGGAGGTGGCTGGGGAGGAGCGTGGTGTGGTGTGCACTGTGACCTGTGGTCTGCGTGTGTGTCTTACAGTGGCCTCCAAACAGCAAGATGTTGTTTCTGAAGTTAGGACTTTCACTAAGGATATGAAGTAAAAAAGCAAGAAATCATGTCAGATTAAAGGCAAAAAGCATGAAACGAGTACAAGCCAGGTGTTGTGGCACAGACCTGTAATCTCAGCCCTCAGGAGGCTGAGACAGGACTGCTATGAGTTCAAGGGCAGCCTGAATTAGAGCCAGACCCTGTCTCAAAAAAATGTAGACTTCATTTTTTGTTGTTTCTCATCCAACTTTCCCAGAAATATATACCATTTGAAGGTGTGTATTACAGTTCGGTTCATTAGTGCTAATCCCTTGCACACATACTTTTAAAATCCAGGAACAATAATATAATTCCAGAATGTCTTCTTTTAGTTTAATTTTTTTATTTTTTTTATTTTAGGGAAGGACCTGCAGGGTGTTCAGGGTCTCACTACTAGATTGGGACTTGGGACTGTAGTGATATGTCTGTTTACAGCCTCCCAAGAGCTGGGATTACAGGCGTGCGCCACCACGCCCAGTCTCAATTTCTGTCTCAGCAACGTGACCCAGGAGCAGGCTGACTTGGCAGGCCCAGGGATGGAACCCTTTGGTCCTGTGCCTGCTTACAGGCACTTTAATCCACTGAGCTATTTAGCCAGGCCCTTTTTAGATTTTAAGAGGGACTAATCAAAAATTGATATCTGACATCTCCTCTTCATAGCCCACAGGAAAAGACCTGTATTGCAAATATCAAGGCCTCCACTGAGACAATCATCAGGCTCCGTTCAACCAAACCACAGGCACTAGTAGCACCAGGCTCAGAGGCTCTACTTCCTAGCTGTCTACCTTTCTCCAAAGTCCCTGGCAGCGACACTCAGTGTGATGTCTGATAATGCTGACATTGAAAATACTCAAATTTCAATTTCATACTAAAATAAAAATGTTTTTTTCTTTACACAAAGTATCTAGGTTACCACAGTTAAGTCTGAAGCAGGGCCGTGATGGGGTGAACTGGAGCACTGGACATCTTTATACACATTTAGGAGCTGGATCAGGAAATCTGATGACACAGGAAAAGAACAAGTCACAGTCATTAACTTCTCATAGTCACCTGACCATCTGGTACATGAAAACTGGCTTTAGTCTTGGCTTCAACTTCTTAAAAATATAGTTTTATGAAACCATTTTTTATATGCATGAAAAACAAGGAGTCAGTGGGGTGGGGATCTGCAGCTGCACACTGAGAGCGAAACACCAGCCCACACATGGTTTTAGATGGATGAGCATCTGCTGGTATGAGGAAGACCTCGTGCCAGGCCATTTGGCTCTCAGGAGCCACAGGGCAGTCCAGATCAATGCAAGGATCAAGGCCTCACCCGGTCCAGCAAGGTCCTTATACAAACGACCTAAAGACCATTATGTTCCTAGAAATAACAGAACATTCCTTTTATTCAAACTGCTTCCATCAAAACACTTGAAAAATAAGTGTTCTTCATTGGGTTAGGGGCTGGGGACTAGGGTTCATCTCAGAATGACTCAAACCCTCTGCATCTGTTCATCTAAAATGACATCCTTAGTCCCCGTTGATGGTGCGTGTGCTTGAACACTGAGTCCCTGGGAGGCCCTCCTCAGTCACAAGAAGTCTCTCCCGGGCAGGGCCAAGGCTTCCTCTCACGCCCACTCTTCAGGCTGCAGGGCATTCTCCACAGCGAGCTCATGCCCTTTCCTCCTCTACCACACACACTCAGAAGACAGGAGAGTCACAGAAAGGGCATGGGCTTTGCAGCAGCCTCTTAATCCAGTCAGGATCTGCAAAAGAAGGACAGGTGGTGGGGCTGGTGAGATGGCTCAGTGGTCTAAAGCACCTACTTAGAACAAGCTTAGCAAAGCATCAGGGACCACGGTTCAATCCCCCAGCACCACATGCCAGCCAGCCGCACCCCCTGGCGGGCTGAGCTGGCCACATACACACATACATAAATAAATAAAATTGAAGGCCAGGTGGCATCAAGCAGACAGGCTGCGCACAGTCCTGCAACATCAGAAGGTCATCCTGGGTGAGCGCTCGGTCCCTAGGTGCAGCGCCTCTCTCCTTGGGTTTCAGTGTCAAATACGGGAAACAAGGCTGGGCTCTATTTGCAGGTTCCCAAGCTAAGTGTGGGCAGTGGGAAGATATGAGTAATTAACACATCACAAAGCTAACTCATCAGAGTTTGAGCCCATGCCAAAGGACAGACTACACTTATCCTGCCAATTCTCTCTCCCTCTCTTCCCTCCCTCCCTCCTTCTCTTTCTTTCAATGTATTTGGTACAAGGTCTCACTATGCAGCTTGGACTCAGTGATCCTGTTTTTAGCCTCTCCAGCGCTGGGATTACAGGTGTGCACTCAGCATGCTAAGGGGTGGGGCTGGCGCAGCAATGGAGCTGCAAATCGAACCCCAGTGCTGTGCTTGTCTAAACAGGCACTTAGTCTGCTGAGCTATCTCACTGGCCCTCAGTTCTCTCTTTAAAAATGACAGCAATAGAAGGTATTTATTTATTTATTTATTTACTTATTTGCAGAACCGGGGATTGAACTCAGACCCTTGTGCTTGCCAGGAAAGCACTTATTCCACCGAGCCATCTCCCTGGCCCTAGAAGATATTTATTATCATTATTATTTTTATTTAGGACAGGGTGTACAGGGTCTCACTGCATAGATGAGACTCACAGTGATCCTCCTGTTCACAGCCTCCCAAGTGCTGGGATCACAGGTGTGTGCCACCACACCCAGTCTCAACAGCCAGCTCATCACACCCTGGGGGTGGGGCTGGCACAGTAGGCCAGGGATTGAACTCCCTGGCCCCTGTGTATGCCGAAGCAGGCCCTTTAATCCACTGAGCTATTTGGCTGGCCCAATAGGTCTTTATGTGGAGAATTAGCAATGTGCCACTAGTGGGCCACTCCCTGCCCCTGTTCACACCCCTCTTCTGTCCCCAGTCTGTGAAATGCTCTGCTATACCCCAGTACACCCTCTGCATACAAGAGTTCCTCATTGTCCCCCAGAGCTACAAGTGGCTCTATTCAAACAAAATCAGTGGGTTAGACAACCAAGGGCCACGGGATCCTGAATAGACCCAGAGCGCAGGCCCAGCACGGAACTCTTCAGCAGAACTCCCTGCAAAGGGGCTAGAGGCAAGACCCACCCAGCTGATTCAGGAGCAGAACATCTTGCCAGAGAGACACAAAGGGTTCAACTCTAACGCCTGCAGCACAAAGAAGTGGAGCACAGCAGCCAGATCCAAGCAACACCCACCTGGAGGAATCCGAACTTCGCAGATCCGGACCTGGTGCTAAGGTAATAACTCTATCTAAGCTCTACACCAAAGGTCAGAAGACA